GCATTGGCATCATTCTTTGTGACAGTCAAATGATCTCACGTTTGGCCAGTGAGCATCCCGTCAGGTCAGTTCCATTGTCCTTTTGGCCTGACCTCCTTGGTGTTTGTTGCTTTCCTTTCTGGCAAGAGATGGCCCAGCCTCGCTGTGCGCTTTTCTCCTCCAAGTCCTGGGATTACCAGTTTCTCCAAGGAGACCCACTGTCTTTTCATAGGCGATGACAGTTAGACACGAAGATCTGGGGGGTCAGGTGCACTCAGTGCTAGTGGGGTGTTATTTTTTAGACCACTTTAGGGGAAAGAACAAGGAAATGAGAGGTAGCTATCATTTAGGTAGCTAGATTTAAAAATAAAGCAAGCTCACTGACTCCTGGAATCCCTGTCGATTCAGAAACCAGGTCTGACTCAGAGAGACCCTGTAAGACAGAACAGAACCACTCCCTAGGGTTTCCAAGAGCGCAGGTCTTTATGGGAGCAGACAGCCTCATCTTTCTCCCCCCAGCACTTGCAGTCAGTAGTCCAGTGCTTCTCTTACAGGGTCATCGGGGCTCCAGAGAGATCAATAGATGATAGAATGTTAGATCATTATCATTACGTAATAGATTTGTTTGCTGTTGTGCCCATTGGTGGTCCTCCATTGATAGTCCAAAGAAAGGGAGCTGGTGGCATTTGGGGTGGAAGCTTAGTGGGTGGTGGTGCAGGGATGGGAAGAAGGGTGCCCGTGTGGGTACAGGTCGCTGGGAGGACCTCTGTGAGTGGCTTCAGCCTCCCACTTGACCTAGATAGAAAAAGATCCCAAGAGGTTTTCAGAGGGCTGGTTCTCCAACGTGTCTAAGCCTGGACCTCCCCAGAGGCCGTGACTTAGAGGCCAGAGCACAAGGAAAGCCCTGAGCGAGGGCTTCCTCTCTTCCTCTCAGAGTCTGAGTGAGGTCTGTGAAGTGAAGATAACTAGGCCTCTCTGCCTGGGTCCCAGAGCTGGAAGGATCACTCGCTCAGTGCCAGCTAGTCAGTTCTGAGACAGCCACCCTGTAGGACAGGCTAAAGCTACCCGTCTGGGCTTCCAAGGTCTTCAGTCTTTACAGAAGCATAAAGTCTCATCTTTTCCCTAAGGAGAGACTGGTGGGTTCGTACTGCTGACCTTGGGTAGCAGCCCAGCCTGGAACCTACTCTGCCTCCAGGGATCCTCGAGGAGCGATGCCTGATGTGTTTATCTCTGAGGTGGTTAGCCAGTCGCGTCAACATGTGTTCAGTAAAATTCCCATCCCTCTTCATGGTGTTAATGCCACGATTTGAAATGTTGCTTTATCATCTGATTAAACACTTGCTATACTTTTTGATAGCCGGGCACCATCAGCTTTCTTCGCTGATTGGTGTAAGAAGTGCTTCCCTCTGGTGATGTTCGCATCATCAGCGCTCACTGTCATTGAGCCTGTAGGACAAGAGTAGAACTGCCCCTGGGGCTTTCTGAGACCATCAGTCTTGAAGGGAAGAGGAGGCCTCATCTTGCTCCCACTGGTGGTTTCGAACTGCTCATCTTGTGCTTAGCAGCCCAACACATAACCCACTGTGCCATCAGGGCCCCCACATTCACTGTCTAGGCCGGTCTATTATTTGGCTGAAAGTTAAGCCAGAGTTGAGTTCAGGTCCAGGCCTGAAGTGTGCATAAGGGCCAGTAGTCTTGGTGATAGTGCAGTGTTTGAAACAGTTGCTTCAAGCATTCTAAACATTTGGATAGTGATTAAAGAGTTCATTGATATACAGTGAACCCTCGTTTATCGC